TGTGTGTGTGTGTGTGTGTGTGTGTGTGTGTGTGTGTGTGTGTGTGTATGTGTATGTGTGCACATGCGCCTGAGTGTACCCGTGAAGACCAGAGATCATCAGATTCTTTCTATTACTCTCTGCTCATCCCTTGAGACAGTCTCTCACTGAAGCAGGCCAGCCATCCCACTAGACTGCCTGCCCAGCAAGTTCCCATAATCTTTCTGTCTCTGTCCCTTACAGAGCTGCACAGGGCCATACCTGGCCTTTTTACACAGGTGCTGGGGACTGGACTCAGATCCAAGTGTTCTTGCCCATATGCCATTCCCCAACCTCTGTTACTTACTTATGATGAAGAATTTCTTTATATTAGTTAGTGGTGTCTTATTTTTTAATATGTAGAGCTGTAGAAGAAACTTCATATTTTTTCTTTGGGTTGTCTTAAAGGTATTTGGTCTTTAGTAACTGTTCTTTTGCTTGTTTCTCTTTTTTCTTATTACTTTCTTTGTTTACCACAACACTTCATCAAAACTTTATAGAAATATTTCACCTGAATTGAGAAAGTCCTCAAGACATATGAAAGATTTGTCCCCATCTCAATCCTGTCTCTGCCCTCAGGAAACTATTGTCATTAGTTTGCTGTGGATTTCTTGATTGGGGAAGGACTTGGGAAGATGGAAGTCCTTACTAACTACTACATTGTTTTATTTTTTCCCTTTACAAAAATAAGGTCACATACTCTGGGGTCTTTTTCATAAATTTCCTTTACCTACTCTTTAATATATAGAAGTTATATTTCACTTCCACTGTTCAATTTATCTAATTTAAACTTTTTAATGAGGGTTATGAGTGCTTTTTTTTTTTTAATGTGCATGGGTGTTTGGCCCACATGTGTCTGTACAGCACATAAGTAAATGATGCTCTTAGAGGCAAAACAGGACATCAGTTCCCTGGGATTAGAGTTACAGATGGTTGTGAGCCATCCACTGGGTGCTGGGACTCAAACCCAGGTCCTCTGAAAAACTGGCCAGTGTTCTTAACCTCTGAGTCATCCTCCTGATGCATGCTTTTTTATGTTTTAAAATAGTAGACGAGATAGAAATATTACAGCCCTCACTCCCCAGCCTACGTCACTCACTCATCAGAAATAACATTTTTAGCTTTAAATCAGACACTGGTACTCTACAACTTGTTTTGTTGTTGTTTGTTTGTTTGTGCTCCTCGAAGTACTGGTAATTGAATCCAGGGCCTCATGCTTCACACATAAAAGGCAGATGCTCTAACACTGAGCCATGCCAGGACATCATGCCTAATTTCCTGACTCACCAGTCAAAGATCTGTGTTGTTTATTTAGAGTATTGTGTGGGTGTGTCATATTTTGTTTACTCAGTTTCTTGTTGATAGATTAGTATTATATGGAACATTGAATATATTGTCTATATTGGTATATTTTTTAAGTTTGATAAACTATGGATTTTCATGTCAATAAATAATGTTAAGTCATAGTAACGATTTTGTGTTTTTCTCATATGTCATTCTTACGTTTTACAGAAGATCTGGCTACCAGTATCTCTGTATCAAACTGTCAGGTTCAGGAGAATGTGGTAAGTAATAATTATATCCCATATGTGTAGACTGGATAATTAAAATAAGAGAAATAATGTGAAGATCTTGTCAGGATTACGTCTGTGTCCCCACATACTGGGCAGTTGCTAAACTAGATACTAAACTAAGCTTTATAGTGAGGCTGTCCCGGGAATTTCTTCACTTCAAGGTCAACATGAGAATATTGCACAGTGGTCCACAGAGGGAGCTTCCTGAAGAGGAGTACACTGGGTATGACACCCTATTGCTGTAAAGGACCAGATGTTAAATAATCAAGTCTACCCAACTTTGCCGCTATAGCACAGACCTACACAGGAATGAGTGTGACAGTTGTAATAAATTTGTGGCCACTGGAATTTGAATCTCATGTAATATTCACAGGTCACAAATTATTACTTTGATTTGTCTACTCATTTTAAAAACTTAACCATCGTGGATCAAGAGCCCTAGAGAAAGAGCCAAGTCCATACATTGACACCTGTTGACTCAGATTGGAAGAAACAAATGAATGTGCTAGAAAATTTTTCTGTATTCTTCTGATAAAAATTCTTCTGATAAAAATATCTCTTTTACCTGGAGTTTCAAGCTATTACAGTTTTCTAACATAAGTTTGGAACTTTCTAAGATTGAAGTAGAAAATAAATTTCTAATCAGCAAAAGATAGCAAACACCAGGAGATATAAACCCTATATCTCGTTTCCTGGAGATGGCTAAAATAAATTCCATATTGGGGAAAGAAAGGGGAATCCCAAGAACATGAGCGAAAACATCTGAGTAATCCCACAAGAGCCTAAAGAGATATGATCCATGGCTAAGGAGAAAAAAGATTCAGCTTTGTCTTTGATTACCTTGAATGGGCCATGTCTAATTTGATTTGAACAAAAATTTGATTACTTAAATTAAAAATTTGAGATTGATAGCATATACAAATATTCTTACCTTTAAAGTCTTTATTACAACTTAACTTGTATGTATATCCACACATTAGTTGGCCTTTGTTTCAAGGCTAAAGCTTTAGATCTGTTAAATGGCCTTATAGTCATCTTTCACCAGTCATACCCACAGTTCTGGCAGGACACACTCTAAGTTAGTGTTTGAATGTTCTGAGAGCAGCAAACAGTAACCCCCCCCCCAAAAAAAAAAAAAAGGAGGAGGAGGGAAGAAACTGAGTGATCAGTGATTTATATTAGAATTCCTCACACGTCTCATCAGTCTTTTAGAGTCAACTCAGTCTCAGTATGACTTATGTCTTTATTTTGCATGTGGTTCTAAGTGCACATGTATATGGAGAGACCAAGGGGTGAGTGTATGTGGGTGAGTGTGGAGTGCAGGCGGGACAGGGAGAAGAGCAGAAAGAGAGAGATTGGGGCTCATTGATTAGTTTAGGCAGGCTGGACCAGCAACTTCCAGAGATCAGCGTATCACACCTCCCACATTGCAATTACAAGGATAAAGCACCATGTACATCTTTTTTTAAAGTAGGTTCTGGAATAGATCCTTGCACAACAGGCACTTTACCAGCTGAGCTATAACCCTAGCCTGCGGGGTTTGTTGTTGTTTTAAGTCAAAGATAGCAGTCTCCTTTTTGGTAAAACTTTGTACTTAAATACTTTCATAATTTTTTTCATAGATCACTACTAAATGTGAGGTTTATTTTCAGCTCAAAGCATTTTTTTTCCTGAAGGTTTTTTTGATTTTTATTTGCTTGTTTCGGTTTATTTTTGAGACAGGTTTTACCATGTAGACTAGGCTGGTCTTGAACTCACAGACATGCCTGCCTCTGCCTGGGAGGAGTGCCAACACACTTGGGTCCTAAAGGTCTCCTTACATAATATGTCATGTTTTCATATTCAATCATTGAATAAGATTGGCCTATGAAGCCTGTGCTTCATAAAATATTTTTGACTCTGATATGAAAACAGAGTCAAAGACATTGATGGTGTTGGATGGAGAAAACTGATCCTGCTTGCTTTCTTGGTAGGATATCAGCAGTGTTTACCAGATCTTTGCAGACGAGGTGCTCGGTTCTGGCCAGTTTGGCATTGTTTATGGAGGTAAGCAATGACAGCCTTTTATATACTTATTCTAAATTGTAAAATTTTAGTACAGCTGTCATTCTTTTAGCTCACAGTTCTGTCAAGTGCCCTTTTACTCAAAGGCTGGTTTGCATGCTCTCATCATAGTCATTTTTTGTTAAAACTAAATTTCCCTTCATTTCATTTGCAAAGTTCTAAAAGTAACAGAATCAGGAAATTATTTTATAATAATCTTTATTTCTCCCTGCAACTCATACATAAAGATGTGTTTGTGTTGGATTATGTGGACTGTCCACTGGAGTATGTTCCCCACTAGTTTCCAATACAAAGAGAGCATTCATCTTCTGTTGGCATAAATATTCTGTCATATCAGAATACCTGAACCCTTATTCTGCTCAGTGGTTAAGAATACTGATGAAACCCGTTTAACCTCTGTGTGTCTCAAGAAAAATTATTTTTGTTGTTTTGCTTTACAAGACAGTGTTTCTCTGTGTAACTCTGGCTGTCCTGAACTCATTTTGTAGGCCAGGCTGGCTTCGAACTCACAGAGATTCACCTGTCTCTGCCTCCCTGAGTGTTGGTATTATCGGCATGCTCCTCTCTTCATCTTTTAATATAGCACATTTTCTTAGCTGAATCTTTGAATGTGAAATAGCCTTGCATTCCTGGAGCAAACCTATCTAGTCATCATACATTATCTCTCTCAAATTTGATTTATTAATATTTTCTTAATTGTTAGTCTTGCCAACCCGCTTGCTCTGAGGACACTCTGTGTCTGCCTTCAAAGCGCTGGCATTTCAGATGGGTCCCCATGCCCACCCAGCATGTATGTGTGCACTAAATGATTCAAACTCTGCTCTTCACAGACAAACTACCTTACATACTAATAAATAAAAATGTAGTTAACATTTTTGCACTTCTCAATTCATGTAGAAAGCTTCTAAACTTTAGTTTGTTTTTTGTTGTTATTGTTGTTTTTGTCTGAGACAGTATATCTCTTTGTAGTTGTTTGTCCTAGACTCACTTTGTAGACCAGGCTGCCCTCAAACTCACAGAGATCGGCCTGCCTCTGCCTTCTGAGTGCTAGGATTAAAGGTGCATGCCACTATGCCCAGCTTGTGTCTCAAAATCTTGATACAAGATCTGCTTAATGAAGGTAGTGAATTAATGAATTGCACTGCTCATAGTCTTATTGGAATTAATTAAAATTAATATGTATGTGAAAAAAAATCCATAAACTATAATCAAAAATAAAATGTCAAACCTTTGCTGCCCTTGCATACTCTTTTCAGTCTTACCTTTCACACTACCGTTGGAGGGAACCTTTCAGAACATTAGCATCTGATACTCACTTCTGTACACACAGAGCCCATTGTCTGTGGTCGGTGTCCACCGCTCTTAGCATATGCAAGCTGTTACAATCTCTTCTAGTTTGGGTAACCTGTATTCTAATTGTACTTCACTTCTTATTTCTTACAGTCATGCCTGCACGCCTCCATATTTTGCCTCTGCACCTTCTCTAGCCTTTGTTTCTTCAGTGAACAGGCTTATCTGAATGGCTCTCTCAACTGCAGTAGTTTCCAACCTTCCTAATGCTGCAACCCCTTAATATAGTTCCTTATGTTGTAGCAACCCCCTACCACAAAATTATTTTTGTTGCTACTTCATAACTGTAATTTTGCTAGTTATGAATCATAATTTAAATATTCAATAATCAGATGGTCTTAGGAGACTTCTATAGAATGAGTATGTAGGACTCCTTACAGACTCCTCCCAAAGGGGTTGCAACCCACATGTTGAAAACTTCTGCTCTGTCTTTTCTCCCCACCCTACCTCTCCACTGAATAAGTAGATTGTGCTTCTGTAGTACTCCTATGACATAATGGGCATTCTTCTACCATAGTGCCTGGAACTATGGGTTTCTCTCATCTCGCTGCTGAACTTTGAGGATGGCCTTAGAGATGCCTATGTTTTCCTTATATCTGCCCTTATGCTTCACCCAGAACATGTGTAGGTTTTACACATGCAAAATATCTGTGGTTTGCAGCTTCAGATTTGTTCATTTTAGACTAGGGGTATCTCTGAAAGACCTCCCTAAGGAAAGAGAAAATGATCTGAAGTACTGCTAGCATCTTACTAAATACTCGTTTGTCTAGTCTTTTAAAGTAGCCAAATTTTTAGGGCTGTGGCCTTGAAACAGTTAAGAATAATCTTCAAGTTAGTAGATTGGTAGAGAACAAGTCACATGCGTATTAAATGGAGCTAATAAACAAACGTGCCTGTTGTTTTCACCCCTTTAAAGTGTAGTATTTAAGCAGTGACCCCACTTAATAGAGAGAAAATAACTTGTTTTATTTAATGAATGAGATCCCATTGCATACTTATTTTATATCAAGGGTCTGGAGTTTGAGAGCATACCGTAGTTGATCACTCTTCTGACTTAGTGAACCTAGGGTAAGATTCACTCATACAGTACTTCCATCTGGGCAGTCTCCGAAGACCTGATCAGGGCATTTAAAAACTGGCACTTAACATGATCTGTTACTTCTCAACAAGCAGGCTCATGAAGATGTTATGCCATTTCAGGTCATGAATCTGCGTTTGTTATGGGGCAGTACTACAGAGGAAGGCGTCACATTTCTTAAGAGTGTGGGAAAGAAAATGCAAGAGTAAATACATAAAATTTCAGTCTACAGACAGCTTCCCAATGAAGCTTTTCTGTTATATGTGAACTGCCAGCTTAACTCTTTTCTGTTCTTCAACAGGAAAACACAGAAAGACTGGAAGGGATGTGGCTATTAAAGTAATTGATAAGATGCGATTCCCCACAAAGCAAGAAAGTCAGCTTCGGAATGAAGTGGCTATTTTACAGGTAAAAAATGAATATGCTTACATAGGCTTGAGTTTTGATTAATGGAATTTTGGATGAATATTTTAGATGATACTGACACAGATAGGTTTTGGGGATTTGTTTTGAACTTTTGAATACTGAATATTGCAAATCATTTTTTTTCTTAAGATTATAATAATGTTTAAAGGGGCTGTTATTATTTTATTCTATAATACAGCTTTGATTAGAACTTTTTTTTTCCCTGAGCGAAATCTCAAAAAAATAAAGAAAAAATTCGGTAACTTCTGCTGTTTTTATCATGTCATTATTTTATCCATCAAATTCTCAGAAATGATGTGAATACACCAATTAAAATAAAAATAAACACTGACTAAAAGTGTCTACCTTTTAACAGTAATGTGTTCTATTCATTCAAAGTTCTTTGTACTGCATGTTCATTAAAAGTTTGGTGGTGTTTACTTTGGTTTGGTTTGGATTTTGTTGTTTTGGTTTTATTGAAGCCAACGTTTGCTATGTAGCCCAAGATAAACTCATCTCACGGTGATTTAAGGCTTAAGTCTCCTGGGTGCTGGATTGCAGATGTCACCTCCAGGCTCAACTTATTAAAGTCTATTTTACATATGTGTTAGCAAAATGTAAATCACATAAAATAAAGACCTAATGTTTTTATCTCTGTTGGGAGTTATCTAAAAGATAAATATTTTGCTTGATTGTTGTATCTTCTGTATGTTGTAAATAGTAATAGTAATAATAATATGCAAATACCCACTAGTTCATTTTGTGGTTTTTCATGCTATTTAAGAAATACCCATGTAATAGTTAATGCTGTCAGCCCTTCGTCTGCTTGTGGAGAGTGATACAGCTGACTGCACCTAGGCTTCTTTGAAGGAAAGCATTGTTTAAGCAAATGTGTCTGATCCATTTCTTGCCTTCCTATCACTGGGAAGTAGCCATCATGTTTTCAAAGGAATGACAATCAGAAGTTTCCGTTCAGGTGGCCCTAGGCTCCTACCAAGCCTGCTTCCAACAAAGCTAACTTTAGGCAGAATACTAGTAGCATTTACATGGGCTCTGTGTCAGGGTGCATTGTTGGTGTTTTCTTACTGAATTTTAAAATCTTGCTTTACAGCTAATTGTAAAGCAATAAACATAAGGATCTTTATGTAAGGGTTGATTTCTTTGGTTTTGATCACAAACAGAGCCTTAGACTGAGTATTGAACTTGGGAATTTTCAGTTAATGCACATAGTGAATTCTGGTTGTTTGTATTGTGTTACAGTTAGGTATTTTAGGATATCTCCAGAGACACTACTCTCATAAAAATTTATTTGGGGGATGGAGTTTGTGTGTGTTTGTTTGGGGGATGGAGTTCGTGTGTGTGTGTGAACTTGTGACTTGAGGTATTCCTCAGCAGTGTGTAAACTCAACAGAATCTATATGTATATATAGTTTAAAGATAAACTTCAACATGCTTTGAATATGAGACAGTTTAGCATGAACTTCTACTACAAATACTTTATAAAACAAAATTTTCACATCATACCTTATTACTGAATTGGTTCCATAAGATTTAGTCAGGGAACATTCCAGATAAACTTTTCAAAGAGATTGGAAAGAATCTTGTTATAGTCTCACAGTCTAAACACCCTTCACATGTACCTTGTGACACACACATAATAAAAGGAGTGTTTATAAGAGAATGAATAAGGAAGGCAGAAGAGATTTGTAAAGATTAAAACTGGAATCAAGAAAGAAAACACAGTAAATCCAGATGTGAATTCTGTGTATGGGAGGTAAGAGGAGGTATGTAAAAGTAAAGTAGGCAACCTAAGCTGAAAAACAAAACCATTGTGGAAAGAAGACAGAACAGAAGATGTGGAGTCTCTCCCTTCCATGAATCTACGTTCCAGTATACAACTGGGAAAAAATACCTGTGATTCTTGTTGTAGATTTTATTTTATATGCTTTTAGTTTACTTTCTAAATGTTTTTATTCTTTATTATTATTGCCTATATACATGCCGATTTATAAATCCAATCTGCTGGTTTCACTTATTATTGCCCATGTGTATGTGTGCTTAGGGTTCCCACTTGGGATTGGACCTACGGGGGCTCGGCCCTGGAGCAGACTGATTGTCCCTGTCCCTGTAGCCATTATTTGCCTGTAGCTCGTCACTTAGGGGTAGGCCTTCGGAGTTTTTCCCCATCCATGTTGACATGTCACCTGGTAGTGTCATTGTGTATGTCTTGTTTAGGCAGCCATATTGTTAAATTTCACAGATGTAGCTTCCCTGTCATATTTAGACACTGTCTCACAACAGGTGTCCTGGTCTTCTGGCTCTTGCACATGTTCTGAGCCTTCAGTGTAGGAGTTGCATTGTAGGTATGTCAGTTGGCATTGAGTACACTATGGTCAGTTGATCTCTGCATCTGGACCAGTTGTGCATTTTTTTTTAATGGTCTCTGTCTAATGCAAAAAGACAGTTTCTTTGAGGAGAGGTGAGAGTAAACTATTTTTCTTTCTATCCTGTATATTCATATAGTCATTGTAGAGGTTTAGGTGGCTTCATGTAGATGAGTTCTCTACTGAAGTTGATCATCTAAATACCCTGCCACTTCTCTTCAGAATCTCCACCATCCTGGGATTGTAAATCTGGAATGTATGTTTGAAACCCCAGAACGAGTCTTCGTAGTGATGGAAAAACTTCATGGAGATATGTTGGAAATGATTCTGTCCAGTGAAAAAAGTCGACTTCCAGAACGAATTACTAAATTCATGGTCACACAGGTATTTTAACTGTACCTTGAAACTAGTAAAACTAAGAGAATTAAACAGCACCGTTTTTATATATTGGAAAACTAAGGATTGGTAGCCTTAATGCAAGTAAAACAATAATACAGCTACATCTTGCTTAAATATAGTGGAGTTTTGAAGTTATTATACAATTGAAGAAGTTACAGTGGAGTTTAACTGATTTTCTACGTATTAGAGCCCTTTGTAGGGATAGGGTCACTTTTAAATTTTATTCTTATTTTATATGTATGAGTGTTTTGCCTGCGCATGTGTGTGCATGGTGCCTGTGGAAATCAGAACAAGTCAGAGCTCAAGCAGTTATGAGCTGCCTTGAAGGTACTGGGAACAGAGCCTGATCCTCTCAAGCAGAGCAGCTTGTACTTGACTTCTGTGCCGGCTCTCCAGGTCTTCAGTTAGCATGTAAAGTAGGGGGTTTCATTATGGCATTCATATCTGTTTGTCATCGTACTTTGTTCTCAGTTGCTCCTCTCAAAACCTTTTTCCTAACAGATACTTGTTGCCTTGAGGAATCTACATTTTAAGAATATTGTGCACTGTGATTTAAAGCCCGAAAATGTGCTTCTTGCATCAGCAGAGCCATTTCCTCAGGTGAGTCTCTCTCTGGAACCTGATTAATAACAATTTTGAGAACAACATTTACAGAGTACCTCCAATTACAAAGAGCACTGAGTGCACACCACCGTAGTGTCTAACTGCCAGTTTGAGTCAGCAGCTAAGCCATTTAAATTCAGACTTCACTATTGTATCGCTGCTATTCATTTAAACTTTTTCAGAGGGAAGTAGCTCTCAAGGAACAAACTTTTGGGTTTCTTTGGGGGGATCCATTTTTATAATTATGTATATGTGGCTCACAACCACACAGCTCTTCAAATATCTGAATAGAGGAGTCCAAGATTCAGTTATGATACATCACGTTTTATTCATAAGACATGTATCATGACATATACTAGAAACAGCAAGCAGCATTTGAATATGCTTCCACCTCTGTTCTGCAATAACTTTTTGTACTGTTTTTACGGACATCAAATCCCTTCTCTCCCAGTTTACAGTAATACTTTCCCTAAGTCACTTTCTCAGAGTATTTCCTCTAAGAAGTACTTGGCATTGCCTATTGAGCAATCATAAATAACCAAAATCTGATGTCATCTAAAATGATTCAGCAAGTAAGTGCCAAACCCATCACACCTCCTGAAGAGCCTTCCTGAGGAAAACACTGTGGTGCTTGCGGGCACCTTCACATGTAGCCCTATTCAACTCTAAACCAACTGGAGTAGCTAGTCTGTCAGCACAGAAGGCTCTTGCTCCTATAGCTTTTCTACTGTGTGCATCATCATCATCATCATCATTATGAGCCTTGTTTTACTTACCTGCTGATATGTAGCATCCTTGGCGACAGATATTTCAAGATTAAACAAAATGAAGGATGCTTCCAAGTCCTGTAGCTTATTTTTCATGCGGCAAACATTGAGTACTTTTATATGTCTAGACACTAGAGGCCACTGATGATTCAAAACGGAAACACAACTTACATACAGAGAATAGAGAAGGGATTCCCATACAAGTGATTGAAGATTAGCACCTTCCCTCCATCTCATCAGAACAACAAAACTGAATATTTGCTCCATGAGTCTGACAGTTTACGTTCTGGAAGACAGAGTACAAATTTTTAAAAAATAAATGCTAGGATAGCTCTTCCTACTACTGTAATATCACAGGGCTACATATATATGTAGGTGCCTCCAGGGAAGTGTTATTTCAGTTTCCCTGTCTACAACTTTTTTATATAGTTAGTACCTTTGGTTAAATGCATTGAGCGTATCTAGGGACGGATATTGACACATACTCAATTTCCAGGTAAAGTTGTGTGACTTTGGGTTTGCACGCATCATTGGTGAGAAGTCATTCCGGAGGTCAGTGGTGGGAACTCCAGCCTACTTGGCCCCCGAGGTCCTCAGGAGCAAAGGTTACAACCGTTCTCTAGACATGTGGTCAGTGGGAGTCATCGTCTATGTGAGCCTCAGTGGCACATTTCCGTTCAACGAAGATGAAGATATAAATGACCAAATCCAAAATGCTGCATTTATGTACCCACCAAATCCATGGCGAGAAATCTCCAGTGAAGGTAAAAATGAATGAAGTTTCAGGTTCACCATTAATCTTAGATCTTTGTGATCACAAAGCATCCTCTCTTTTCATCTCCCTGATTTGTTGCCAATCTTTGAGCACTTTATTATATTTAATTTATTATTTCATTTTTACCCTATTTTGAGATAGGGTCTCACTTTGTAGCTCTTGCTGACCTAGAACTCCCCATGTAGACCAGCCTGACCTCAAAATCACAAAGATCTGTCTGCCACTGCCCCCAAGTGCTGGGATTAAAGCTGTGCAACACTGCAAGGCCAAGCACTCTACTTTTTTAAAATTACTTAATTTATCTATTTATTTACTTTACATCCCTATCCTAGGCCTCTCCCTCCTTTCCTCCCACTCCCACCCTCCCTCATTCTTTTCCCTATCCCTTCTCATTTACTCCTCAGAAAAGACACATACCCCAGCACATCAAATCGCATCAGGACTGAGTGCTTCTTCTTCCCCTTTGGCCGGGCAAGGCAGCCCCACGAGGGGGAAGTTATCAAAAAGCAGGCAACAGAGCCCATGTCAGAGTCAGCCCCTACTCCCCGTACTAGAGAACCCTCATGAAGACTGAGCTGCCCATCGCTACATATATGTAGGGGGCCGAGCATGGTCCATGCATGGTTCCAAGCACTCTACTTTTAAATTGTTTTCCTTTATTTTTCTCATAAGTTTTAGGTATGGCAGTAACCCAGGCCCCAGCAGCCTAATCCAGAAAGTACTTAAGTATCTTTTCCCTATGCTGCCCACTAGCCTCTTCTTTAGTTAGTCACTGCTACTAGTTCCATTTGCAGGAAACAATTATTTCATCCATTTTGGCTTCCCTTTAGCCACAGCAGCTATAAGCTTCTGATACGGCCCTTGCTAAGCACCTTTTTGCCTCACCTCCTACTTCTTACAGAATAGTTTCGTACTCTTTCTTAAACTCTTTTCTGCATTTTGCTTAGGACTCCTGCCAACCCCTCCTCCTCACTACTACAAATCAAAGGCTTCCTAACTTGTGATTGACCTGTGCGCCCTCCTGACCTACCCCTTCTCCAAGCTAATAAGATCTAGTTATGCTAACAGTTGGAAATTTTTTTCTTAGGGATATGTTTTGGTAAGTAGTTCTTCCAGTCTTCAGTACATTGTAAATCCCTTGAATGGATACTTTTAATCCATGCACTTTACACCTAGAATGGGCTTTTGATCTCTTACACAGAGGCTCCATGCTATAGTTCAGTCTGTACAAGCCAAGCTTGAGTCAGGACTGTTGGCATACATTAGTAATCCCAGGACTGTGGAGGTTTCAGAGTTTTATACAAGACGGTTCCTCGGGAAAGGGGTGGGGAGAAAAGTCAGGGAAGAGAAATGAAATTGGTCCTCTTTAATGATGCAAGTATGCCATCCTTAGTAGGCACTCCCCTCATATGCAGTAAAGTACTACCTAGGGATATCCACACCTGGGTTTAGCCAGTCCTTGGAATGAATAAGACTTTTTACCATGTCAGACGACAGTCGGATAAGTACTCCACTAAACTGGGAGGAGTGTGAGGAACAGCAGTAGTCTGCCAGGTTACGTTCACTTTGTAACAGAAAGGCTAAGGTCTAGTAGGAAGCTTTGATGCTCAAAGCTGTCTCAGATCTAAAGGCAGTATGGCCCACAGACCTCCTGTCATTCACTTGACCATTTCTAGATTCTGACACAGCAGGTGAGATGAAACACTTCCTGAAATTGATGCAGACAGTGGACAATATTAACTGAATAAATGAGGGTTTGATGATTTTGAAACACATAGGTAATAAAGTTATTAGGGAAAGTCTTTGCAGGTTGGGACTAAATAAGCTTTCATATCATTATTCCAAACATGTCTTACAGCCTGTGGTCAATATTTAGTTTTATGGTCTCAGTGTTTCAATTTCTCTAAAAAAACTGAATAAAATGTGCTGAGTTTTCACCATAAATACCAAATTACCCCAAATCTGTCCACTAAAACCTGAACAGTGTGAACTTTTGTTATTGTTGCCACTTCATTCTAACTATTTGTGCAAGAAGACTGACTTCTGCCATCTTTTCAGACCAAGTCAGGGAAGAGAGCATTGTGTTATCATTGTAAGAGAAAAAAAATCATCTGAAATCAGAGCCTGTTTTGTTCACCCTTAAAATATAGTAGTGAATACTTAGCACCTGTACATTAAACACATTTCAACTTTTATGTTAAGCTCATTCATCTTCTCAACAGTGCATTGTGTAGATGAGAAAACCAAGGTACCACATAGTTTAGAAACATATTGTGTTACACTGTAGTATGGCACGCATGAGCCTAGCAGTCTGGCTTTGCTGTATTCGTGTAACCCACACTCTGATTGCTTCCTGAATAACATAAAAAGTTGGCATTTGTACTTACTACAGGAAGCATTTATGGGTCACTTCTGTGTCTTAAGTTTTATAGACTTGAGAAGCAGAAATTTCTCCATGCCATCTTTACGTGAATCAAACTGCTGTTCTGCAGACAGAATCACAAGTTTAGGTTCAATACCCCTAAACTCATATATCTAATTTTGTCTTTTCATCTAGCAATTGATTTGATAAACAACTTGCTTCAAGTGAAGATGAGAAAACGTTACAGTGTTGACAAATCTCTTAGTCATCCTTGGCTACAGGTAAAAAAAAAAAAAAAAAAAAAAAAGTATTCTGCATCTCAGCCTTCTGTAACTTTGTCTCCACTAGTGAACTCACTCTAAGAGCAACAGGTTCAGCACATTCCTTGGGATAATCTAGGCCCTCTTTAGTCATTATCTGTGCTATGGCTTGGGTCTCTGAGCTGCTCACATCTTTTCTTCTTTTTAAGGTTGACATGGTATGCTGTTCAATATATTTTACTTTAAGTGCTCACTAAAAGATTTGTTTGTGTTTGGCCTGATTCGTCCATGAGTTATTACAGAGATTTGTCCCAAGACAAAAATCCACACTTGAGAGTGAGCAGAGAAGCTGAGCACTATTTTATAAGAAATGAGGGAACAGAGTAACATTAACAGATGTATTTCTGGGCTCAGTGGTTAGTAAGTTAGTCAGATCATACATTTCCAATCCTTCCCCTGTTTTGAACAGTTAAGATGTATGCCTCTAGCCATGCAGAACAATGTCTTCATGATGGTTATTGTCAGCTAGCTCAAAAGCCTAAGAGAATTTTCCAGAAACTACTTCTTTTCTTTATTAAAGACTTTATATTTTAAATAAGATTGCTACTTTAAAATACTATACTAAGACTCAGGAATGAGTTGGCAGTTGTGTAACTAAGCTTGTAAACAAAACAAGGATCTAGTGGTGTTTTGTCTATTTTATGGTTCATAATCATTTTTTTTTTTTCTCCTAGGACTATCAGACTTGGCTGGACCTCAGAGAATTTGAAACTCGCATTGGAGAACGTTACATTACACACGAAAGTGACGATGCTCGCTGGGAAATACATGCATACACACACAACCTCGAATATCCAAAGCATTTCATTATGGCCCCCAATCCAGATGATATGGAGGAAGATCCTTAATTATCAGTGAGCTAACTTCAGTAAGGAAGGATTCCATTTCAAGAGCAGATACTTTGCTGCATAACTGTTTTTCTCTGCAGGCTACGTTGCAAGGAGGCAGAGTCATGAGGAAATAGTATGACTTGGTGGCACTAGTACTGAAGCTCATGATGAGTAGGTACATGAAGGGAAACTGAGTAATAAAATCACATCATGAAATCAAAATGAAACTTGTTATAAATTTTTGTAGCATAAGCAATAACTGGTTCTGCAATTTTTTGCTAATCCTTTACATTAGCACAATGTGAATTAGCACTTAATTTATCCGTCCTTTGCTGTTTTTACATCATCTTTTCTAAAAGCCTATGACTGTCTAGTTATTGCTTATAAGGTTGATTACTCAGCGGGATTGTAGTTAAGCAGTAACTATGAGGCTAACAATATATGGCTTTCTGCTGTTGGAGGCATTCATTCTTCCTGGATCCCTATAAACACAACACTGTACTGCTAACCTTTTGAGGGATGTATCTTTAATTATGGTCTCTATAACATAAAAGTTGTCACCTTTTCTATGTTGCAGTAGCCACTAGGATAATTGGACAATTGGAGTTACAAAAACGAATCACCAAGCTCTGCCGCTGAACACCTATGTTCTCAATTGACACCATCACGGTTTAAGCCAACAGTCAGTGTGTATAGCTCTGTATTTAACTACATAATTTATCCTCACCTGGGGTTGAATAATTTATAGGCAAAATTAAATACATACTAAAAAGGAAAGCTAGTACAGGGTCACTAAAGGTCATTATACATTAAGTATTATCTTTTCCTTCTTCCTTTAGCCTTTGGATAGAATTGCAGTTATCTGAAATTAGTGTTTTATTTTGAGCGGTTTGGAGGAGTGGGTAAAGTCAGACATGAAAGTTCAGTTTATCAAGGTGGGACCACATCACCAGTACAGCTTTGAAGGAGGAGTAAGAACACTTTACACGTCAGCCCCAGTGGCCAGCTCTTTTTGTAATACTTATTACTATAGGTTCAGGATCCCTGCTCTGAACTGTTGTATACCAGAACAGTCTCGGTTTGCCAGATACTGAAATGTTTGCAGAGGCCGCTGGTTGAGCATCCCTGACTCTTAAGCCTGAAATCCTCCAAAATCCAGAAACTTTAGAGTTCAGTAAACTTCACATTTCCACATTAGCAATATTCTAACCCGTGCTTTACCTAAAGGATCCAGGACTATCCTCTCATTAGAAAAACAGTAGCTGCTGTTTGTTTTGTTTTTCTTTTTTTTTGTTTGTTTGTTTGTTTTTCTTTTTTTTTATTTTTTTTTTTTCATTCCTCAGTGGTCACCAAGAATAGATTTTTGTTGTTGTTTTTCCTTCCCTCTACTAAGAGCAAAATTTGGAGTCAGAAAACCTGAGTTTAAGTCTTAGCATCTATTTTTTTAGGTCTGTTGGGCTGGGCAGGTGACAATAGCTTCTCAGTCTGTAGAGTGGAGATCATAAACTGCTTCTCCTTACCTCGGTGTGGCTGTGGAGATGGCATGTGTGGACATTCCGAAAATCTGGAACGTCAGTGCTGTCAGTTACCCCTGACTGAGATAGCAAAGGAAATACTATGTGGGAGCAGACCAAGACTGAGAGTGCCTTCAAGGATGAGAAAGAGCTACAGGGATCTAGCTAAAATTTAAAATGGCCTTGAAAAAGCAAATCATGTGGTGCCGGTGTTGTAAGTTTTTATGCTTTAAATGGACCTCACAGTAGCCACATGGCTAAGTACATTTAGAGAAGTTGAGGCACAAGGTTAGCTGTTAAAATTCATTGAATTTTAATATGGATTTAACCCAGGCCTGTGTCCCAAGTCCCGTTAACCATCCCAGCCATTGCTGATGTACTGTACATCTATAAGTATCTCCAGGGGACTATCCACCCTCTCTCTGTAATTGTTCTCATACAGCAGTTGTGCTAGGTCTGTTTGACCAACATGTACAAGATGGAACTATTTTGTGTCACCAGGCAACATACTGTGGCTTACCTGTAAGGAGAAAGCTAACTGGAGTGACTGTTGTGTTGGCTGTACTTCTGTAAGCAGACTTTGCAAGCCGTGAAATTCATTGCACTCTTTGTTTTTGTTGAAGGCCTGTGCTGTCTAAAGAGAGAGCCTGCAATAGTATAGAGTTGAGTAACAACTATTTTTTAGCCTACATAACCGTTTGTCTTTGTCTTAAAGCCAAGTTGTGTTTGCATAAAAGTAATTGTTTCTTAGAAACGTGATAATTTTCAAAGTAGTGTATAATGACACTGTTTAGTACATTTTATATTTTTTGTTACATCCACTTTTTGTAAATATTCTCAAACTTGATAATAAAATGTATTTCTCTATCACCATATTTTCCTATGTGAAAACCTTAGCCAGTCTGTAGTACAAGTACCCCAAGGGAGTTTGATTTGGTTGTAAAACTTTCCCTAGGCCTGAGTAATAGAAGAAATTTTAAATAGCGCTAATGCTACATGAGCACTGATTGTATTTATCTACCCCCTGCCAAAGAAAAGCTTTTAAGAAGTCATCAGTTGTATCCTGCATTTGAGATAATTATGTAGAGGGTTCACTTATTGAATGCCAAGTACAAAGAATAATGATAATTAAAATCTTCAGTAACTACTGCAGATATTCAAGCATTGCAACTGCCAGAAGACTTAAAAAATTAAATGTCTAATATGAAATATACATTTCTAGAATTTGATAGAAGGCAAGACCAGGCTTTTCCCTCTTAATTATAAAAACTTAAAACCATTATGTGTTTGGGAGGAGCTCATTGTGGATATTATCTAGTCCCTGAAAACAAAACACAAACAGTGGATATCGGGATAGAAAAGTAGAACAGAGCAATTAAGACTGGCCTGAGGCTGGGCAGCATCAGGCTGGGGGATGGTGCTCTTGGAAGCTAAAGAACCTGATGCATGAACAGAAGAGCTCCAGATCGGATACCCAGCCCCACAGTGTGCCTGTAACCCAGTAAGACACTGCTGAGGAAGGGGCTGACCCGAGATCTTTTGCCAAATTAAAGAGCTATGAATTCCAAGAGAGATGCTGTCTCAGAAAATAAGGAGAAAAGCAGTGGAGAAAAAAAGCACCCGCCATCAACCTCCACATACAAATGCCCAAAATGTCATAGGTTCCTACTATAACTGCAGGTGCTGTGGCTGAAATGTGCACATACCACACACACTAATTAAATACAGCCTTGTTCCTTCTTTTCTTACAGACAAAGACACAGAATGTTAACACCGTTCTCAGCTAAGCAGTAGCAGGAATAAAAATCAGTGACACACCATTCTGCCAATGACTTCAATGCACTTAAACCATAAGGTCAAGACACGGCTGACACTGTTCCCTCTAACCTCCTCATCAGATTGTACTGCTGATAAACACTTCCCAAGAAATCCCATTTACAGTACTAATACAAAAGTTCTGTGGACCACCTTAACACAACTAAAATTTTATATTTATCTGAAAATACAGCAAGGAAATGAACTCAGCTTAGGAAATTGTTCCTCCTGATTAATAATACTACTCCTAACTCTTGTTTCAATAAAAGTTAGATTTCCTGCAGTTTTTAACTAGATTTTTATTACTTCTTTAGGTTCAGTCTTCACTTACATCCACAGAAGCACATGTAACCCTTCTAAATAATCCTTCTAGACTGGAGAAGTCACGGCTGGCTCCTTACCAGCCACTCTTCCTTCATCTCTGAGCATGTGCACACCACAGAGGAGAAAGCTACGTCTACACTAGCATATGCAATTAATTATCTCCTTCAGCAAAACTGATAATAACTGGACAAACTCACGTCAACTCTGTCACACTCTTTTATTTACTCAACCTTAGAGATCCTTCTTTCAATCAGAATATGCTGTTTCTCACCATTTTAAAAAGAAAATAATCTAGACCTGTTGACTCAGATACCTGGAAGTAGCCATTTACCTTATTTCCAACAAACCAATCAGTGCTGGTATGTGTTTTTAGAAAGTACACAGAAATACAGCAACTAGTTTGATTAAAAGAAACAATTTTACAATACAGTACTTCAGTAGGTTGAAAACAGTTATACCAAGAGTCAGTTATAACCTTGAACATTCTACCATTCTACATGTATTTATAGAAAACAGGCTCTTTTTATTGGCTGAAAAGTGATGGTTTGAACAGTTATTTCAATATACAAATTTAGTTTCTTTTATTTTGATTTCTTAAAGCATACTGAGGAATAAAAGGTCCAGGCTGAAATATCACTGCCAAACAAGTTCATCAAACCCAGGTACAGATGATGCAGGAGTTTTTGACTGACAGGCATTCCTTTCTTGACTTCCACCATGAAGTCTCTGATGAGGTAGCAAGGCAAAGAAGTTAAATCTTTCCCCCATCTTCTGAGGATTCATTAACATATCATACCCTTGAAGTAACTGCTGCTTCACAGATGGGTCGTCCACTTTATCCAAAAGAACCTGAAGAGGGAAAGGTCTTTAACAAAAGTCAATGAAGAGGGAGTTCCCCGGTGCACAGTACAAGCTATTCCCCAAATTTGATCACAGCGTGCTTATAACTGAAGGATGCTGCAGTCCAAATGCATGTGCATCTTTAGGAGGTATCCCAGATTATTTGCTCTGTAACAACACTTAGGCATCCTTGAAAGAGGAATTATAAAATTTATACCCATGAACATGGTTTTCTTGGGAGCCTTAACCTCATATAGAAACTTAGAAAGCAGTGCCACTCCGTAGCCTTCACTTCTGCAAAAACTCCCCCAGGGCTGCTCACTATACCAGTATTAAGCCATAGAGCTCAATTTTAAATTATCTTTGAAATGAACATATCTATTATTAGATAAGCCATTACCTTCAACCGGACATCAATGCCCATGTTTTTTAAAAATGTCCGTTGTTGTACTGGACCTAGAGAGGCTACTTTTCCTTGTGCCATTCTGCGCAGGAAGCTGAAGTCCACATCAGCTGTCAGGTCTGCTGTCCCAGGAGCAATCAAAACATCATGAAGCTGGTGTCCGCAAAACCCCTTGGACATAAACAATAGTTTTTACTCTGTTTTAGTTAATATTATAGAGATTAAAGAAAGGATATCCTACTAATCCAGTTTTTACATTGTCAATGTTAAGAAAAGTATGGCCTAAGTCTGTGGTTTAAACTCCATGCAATGGTACTGGCATAGAAACAGAAAGGAGGATCAATGGAACCGAATAGAAGACCCAGAAATAAACCCACACACCTAGGAATACTTGATTTTTGACAAAGAAGCCAAAACCATTCAATGGAAAATAGAAAGCATCTTCAACAAATGGTGCTGGTCTAACTGGATGTCTACATGAAGAAAAATGCAAATAGATCCATATTTATCACCCTGCAAAAAACTAAAGTGTAAGTGGAGCAAAGACCTCAACATAAAACCAGATACTCTAAATCTGTTAGAAGAAAAAGTGGGGAAGAGCCTAGAACTCATTGGTACAGGAGACAACTTCCTGAACAGAACACCAACAACACAGGCTCTAAGAGCAACAATCAATAAGTGGGACCTCATGAAACTGAAAAACTTCTGTAAAACAAAAGACACTGTCGTCAGAACAAAATGACAGCCTACTGGGAAAGGATCGTCACCAACCCTATATCTGACAGAGGGCTGATATCCAGCATATATAAAGAACTAAAGAAGTTTAAAAGCAATAAATCAAGTAATCCAATTAAAAATGGGGTGTGGAGCTAAACAGAATTCTCTGTAGAGGAATACAGAATGGCAGAGAAACAGAGATGTTCAATGTCCTTAGCCATCAGGGAGATGCAAATCAAAATGTCTCTGAGATTTCACCTTACACCCATCAGAATGGCTAAGATGAATAACTCAAGTGACAACACATGCTGGAGAGGTTGTGGAGAAAGGAGAACCCTCCTCCATTGCTGGTGCAAATGTAAACTGGTACAACTACATTGGAAGTCAGCCTAGCACTTTCTCCGACAATTAGGAATAGCGCTTCCTCAAGATCCACCTACACCACTCCTAAGCATATACCCAAAATTTGCTCAAGTACACAACAAGGACATTTGCTCAACCATGTTTGTAGCATCTTTATTTGTAATAGCCAGAACCTAGAAACAACCCAGATGTCCCTCAACGGAGGAATGGATACAGAAATTGTGGTATTTTTACACAATAGAATACTACTCAGCAATCAAAAATGAGGAAATCATGAAATTTGCAGGCAAATGGTGGGATCTAGAAAAGATCATTCTGAGTGAGATATCCCAGAAGGAGAAAGATACACATGGTATATACTCACTCATATAGTCCTATAAGATATGATAAACATAATGAAATCTATACACTAAAGAAGATAAACAAGAAAGAGTACCCGGGGTAGGATGATCAATCCTCACTTAGAAAGACAAATGGGAGGTGCATTGGATGTAGGAGAAAACAAGTAACAGGACAGATGCCTACCGCAGAGGGCCTCTGAAAGACTCTACCTAGCAGTGTATCAAAGCAGACACTAAGACTCATAACCAAACCTTTGGAGAGTGCAGGGAACCATATGAAAGAAGGGGGAGTTTGTATGACGTGGAAAAGATAGGAGCTCCACAAGGACCAAATATATGTGGGCACAGGGGTCTTTTCAGGGACTGACTCCACTAAGGACCATGTATGGATATAACCTAGAACTTCTGCTCAGATATAGCCCGTGGTAGCTCAGTAACCAATTGGTTTCCCATAGTAAGGGGAACAGTGACTATTTCTGACAGGAACTCAATGGCAGGCTCAAGGGAGGATCAGTCCTGTTAGGCCACAGAGGAGGACTTTGCAGCCAGTCCTGAAGATACCTGATAAAACAGGGTAAGAAGAAAGGGGAGGAGGTCCTCCCCAATCAGTTGACTTGGTAAGGGGGAGGGAGGAGATGAGGGAGGGAGGAAGGGTTTGGGAGGGAATGAGGGAACGGGATACAGCTGGGATACTGAGTTAATAAAATGTAACTAATAAAAAAATAAAAAGGAAGATGGCGGCGCCGGGACGACTCTCATTCTGACCAGCAGCACAGCAGGATCAGCACAGTGACCAGCAATCAGAACTCGCGGCCATAAAACACAAGTGATTGTGTTTTCCAGGTGAGAGGATACCCCACGGTGGGGGATTCAATCAGCTTTAACTCACCCGGCTAAACCAAGGAAGAGATCCCGGTTCCGCTAGACGCTTGGTCGCCAGCCCAGAGCCACAGGCCAGCATGCTCTGATCACTGTCCCAGACTGAAGTGTGGGCACCACAACATCACAGACTACAATTTCCAGTCTAGAGATAAGCCCACGGTGCAGGAAACGATTGGGACCAA